GATGTGGTACTCCAGATCGATATGGTTCCCCGACTCAGACTTCCAAAAGCAAATCCGCCATAGGGCAGCAGCCTACCTTTGGACTGGCAACCCGGATAAACAACATTTCATCCACAAGGTCGCATGGCAAATCGTCACCCAATCCAAAGACAGGGGAGGGCTGGGAATTCTAGACCCGGCTCGACAGATTGAGGCCCTCCAGACTAAATGGATAATCAGACTCACCTTGCAAAGCAACCTACAATGGGTACCACTGGCCCTAAGTCACATCAAAGATTTGGCACCTTTTACATTCCCCCCCAACATGTCAGGCCTCTTTTGGATATATAACAAGTCATGGCCTTTGCCAAGAGAAAAGAAGAACAACAACCCCCTTCCTAACGTAGACGAGGAAACAGAGAATGGAAACACAAAATCATTCTGGGAACAACTCATCCGCATATGGAGAAAGATCTTCCCGCAGAATAAAATCGGCCCAAAGAAAAGAGATGAAGTCCTCAAACAACCCCTCTTCGGCAATCCATGGATCAAACACGAAAATGGCCTCAACTTCTCTCTCACCAAAACATACATTAAATGGGGACATTGGGTAGAGAAAGGCGTATGGCAAGTGCAACACCTCTGGAATGAACAAGCAAACAACTGGAAATCTGCAAAGGATCTGCGGATCTTACTAAAAGGTTGCCACAACCCGCAGGCCAACATCAATCGCATCATCGAAAGCATACCTCTAGAATGGCGCCTGTTATTGAAGGCTAAACAAAATTGGATGTGGGAAGAGTGGGCATCAAGCAGAGAACAAACACAACCCATAGAAATACTTAGGGTCACAAACAGCAACCTGCAGAATAAGAACTGGATACTTTGTTCCATCCATCCCCTACAGGATCCAGGAAACCCAGCTTGTTACATCAGCAAACAACCAAAACCTTTATATCATCTCAGAAGATCCGGGTCGTTGAAGGAGACAGAAACAGAGTATACAGACCAGAAACTGAAATAAACCACCTAGAAATAGATCCGGCTGAATGGTCCTGGAGCACAATCAGCCCACTTTCCACAAGAGAACGCCGCTATGCACTCACTGACTACACACCTACATTAGGCTACAAGCTCCACAACAAACCCCGCTCCATACACACTATCATACAAAAACGTTGGGAAAAGGTGGAACGCACTACCACATCAGACAACATCAACCCATCATGGACCTCTATATTTTGCACAAGACCACCTAAACTAGCCAGTCTGCTATGGCTCATAACTTTTTGTGCGGTACCCGTCAATCTCTGGTTATCACAAAGAAGAAATAAAGATAATGCCACTGAACAAACATCTTGGTGCAGGGTGTGCAACGCCCAACTCCAAGAATCTCTCAACCATTGCTTCATAGATTGCCAAAAGACAAAGCAACTCTGGCAAGACATGAAATTAACCTGGAACAAACACTCTAATAAAATCATCGCGATCAACCAAGGCACCCTATTCTTAGAAACAGAACAAGACCCACCCCTCAAAGGTTTTGAGCTTTTCTTCTTCTCACTCATCAAAAAATCGACCCTCTGGACTATTTGGAAAAGGAGATGCGTAGCAACCTTCGGGGACCCTAGTAACACCCCCGAGACCCCCCTCATAGCCATTAAACATATGGTGGAAACGGAAATCCAAGCACAATGGAAAAGAACATGCACGAAACTCCAGTCCCTCCAAAATACCCCGGACAAAAAACAAGAGATCATTAACAAATTCGCTTCCCGGAATCTAGGCAACGGGAAACTAGGAACAGTATAAAGAGAAAGATTGCGCATGGACTGGTTAGTCATGCCTACACTAAATATCCAAAACCCTATCACTCATTCACAATCCACACTTTCAAACAACCTACCTCTCATCGCATTTAACAGAACAGACAACGACATATAAACCATTCTATCAACCCAGCCTAACCATCTACCACCGCACCCCCCCCCAACCACCCACCACCACACCCCCCCAACCACCACCCACCATCAAACTTCTCGCGAACTCTGCCTCACCAATCTAAATACCTTCCCATCCTTCAGGTTTCAACAACGTCAACCACTCCACACTAAATCCTAACACCTATTACCCACCCAATCACCCCCCATCAAGATGAAGGTCCAGGCTCCTAGTAACAGCTAGGTCAAAGCGCCCCCTGCCGCCCAGATCACTAGGGTTTAGGGTGGTAGCCTCAAACGCCCTCTTCCAAGGAAGCTTGCAGACGTTACTACTTGAACTTACTTCTACCTGGTCACGCCACCAGTTACCGAGGGCTCAGGAAACTGCTCCAAAGGATCCTGAATTTAGAGTAAAAAAGTCCATCACACCCACAGTTCCAGGTAAATACAGACACGTCATAGATCCAATCGACAGTCAGGAACAGGCAGAAAAGAGACCGGAACTGTTCGTCAAAGTCAAGTAGCAGACACTCATTCCCAAAGCACGCCTTCAACTGCTACTCTGGACTAATTGACCCTCTAACTTCGGCCAATCAGAGAAAATATGGTTCGGGACGGTACGCAAGGTCACGCTATGGGCCATACGAAAGGAGAGTTGCAGCAGATCTCTGGATGGCACGAAGTACCCACGGGAGAAAGTGCGGACAGCAACCAAAGAGATGATTGAAGCGGAAATCCTCTTTATTGGAGAAAGATTAAACTCCGGGCGCAGAACAATCCAGAGTCAGAACAGGTGACACTTGCTAAATCCAAGCGGATCAGGTGGGTAGGTGACAAAAAGGCGGCCGATTGGGCACGTTTTACAATGGAAAAAATGGCACAATTCGGTCAATTTGGCATCCCAGCAGAACATCCAAGTACTGGAGGAACCAGGCCCAACTTGGGCATAGAAGAGCATCCAAGTTACACGCACGACAGGCGGCAGACGAAGCTTCACATGGAACATATGGAAGAGGATTAATCTTCTTTAGGGTTTAGGGTTTAGGTCTGAGGTTTTGGACAGGAACAAGACAAGCAGGGAGTAGAATGTTTAGGATTTCACGATTCTCATTCCCGGGGCTTAGAGTTTAGACAGCAATGACAGCATTTTGTAGCCTCTCAGTCCTTTTTTGTTTTGCATGTTTTATCCGACAGGTTCTTATAGTAGTCCTGAGGAAAAAAAAAAAAAAAAAGGGTAGGGCAAGCTGACAGTCAATCCTCCCTTACAGTAGTAATCAATGCTGGTCAGGGTTCCTTCGGCCAGACGGAAGGAAGCGTGGGTGTATACTATGTTGTATTCAATCTTGACTTGCCGGGGGAATAGGAACCGGACTGACGCTCCCCAGAATGGACACGGAGCCAGGGCCATAAGGACCTGTTTATTTATTAAAAAAAAAAAAAAAAAGGATGGGAAAGATGTTTATTGCGAAATTGAACCAATGCTGGACATGTGCTTCTTAGGAACTAGAGGGTTGAATATTTTGCAGAAACTCTTCCCTGTTAGACCTAACCATAGTCCCTCGAGTTTCTCCCCCATAGCTTTCAGATTCGGCTGCATTGAAAACGACCGCCGATGACGTCATCCCTTTATCCTGCTGAGCAGCACGGAGTCCGTTTAGTGGACTTCTATTTGGCTTTGCTCTGTGCTTATTTAGCCATTAGTTGACTGTTACTGCATAATTAGCCATTGAAGACTTCTGAAGCAGGCAGGGGGCGGCATGAAGACATTGTCCCAAGGGGGTATGGCTAAACTGGTCAGATTGATGTTTAGGTGGCCCCACCAGTGTTGAGCTATGACTGGTTCTGGAGTGCATGCCCTTTCCCTGAGTCTGTTTCCCAACGTGGTTCAGTACTCTAGTAGGTTATGTTTGTTACTCGTCACAAAGTAGAAAGATGTAATAGGCTTTACTATCACAGGGAATACATCTTTCAAGATAGTGTTGCAACCATCACCCTTCTGCCTATCTCTGCTCAAGTGACGAGTGTTTCCAGGCGTGTGTCTCCTCTATATGCTCGCCGCCTCATCTCTCTCAGCGTCCATCGTTATCTCGTCTCATATTCAGACCAGTCATCTGGGACTGATCAATAATCTCTTTATAAGTTCTTCTTTAAGTTCTTTCTCAAAAAAAAAAAAGAAAAAAGAAAGGTGACCCAAGTTACACCCAACCCACCCAAGTGTTTTTTTGGAACTTTCCTCCCACACTCAACCTGCTCGTCACCCGTAAAAAACCTTCACCCTGAACCACCCACACCCGCGAGAATAAAATTACCCGCCCGCTCCTGGTACCTAATTATTTTCAACCCCACACCCACCCGTTCCCCATTGTCTCAGTCCCTTACGAACATTTACATGCACCACAGCAACATGACATCCTTGGATGATGGCGCCAAAATTCGAAGCATCTCCACTTTGGGCCGTCCTTGGATGAATGTGCAAAAATTCGAAGCGCTCCACAAGTTTGAAACTGGGGAGCGAACCTTGCCCCTTGCTGTGGTTAGGTTCGATCCCCGTTGGTTGGGCCGTGGTCCAGCTGCCACCGGCGCACCGGTAGAGCGTGTCAATTTTGTTCAAGGAGGATCCCAAAGTCCAATTTGCCATTGGCGCAACTCTTTTTTTTTTCGAGGAGGACAATAGACTGGGGACTTTCGGTTTCCTGGGCCTAGTCCACAGGTGGACCGCAACTGGGAAATATGTTTCAGGGGGGTGGGGTTTGGGGGGGAGGGCTCTTATGGGTTGTCCTGGGTCTGTGGGTCGGGTGACCCAGGCCTAGTGCTCACTCGCCTGTCACCCACCCATTCGGGTGACCCAGGCCTAACATTGACCCACCTGTCACCCACCCAGGCTGGCTCGCCTACACCCACCCTCATCCCACCCATGCCAGCTTATCAAGACCCACACCTGACCCAATGCCTCGTGGGTGGGGTGGGTGCGGGTGGGTATGGGTCTGGGTCTGGGTACCCGTTGCTCATCTCTGCCAGAAGGTAACAATTTTCCTCCCCCCAAAAAAGGGAAAACACGAAACAACCGTGGGTTACATTTACCTTGATGTCTAGGCAAGATGGATGGTTGTATTCCTTCTTTTGTCTCTTCATATTGTCATCCTCATCGTCACCCTTCGGTGTACCTGTGCTCGTCTCCCTCTCCCTCCTCTCGTTCTCACGATCATTAGCTTTGTTGTTCGGCTGCCCACTATATTCCTCCACCACCTTCCTCCTGGGGTGTAGCTGCCATTCTTCCTCTTCCTCCTCTGCTGGTTCCTTCTTTCGTTTCCTCAGATGCCTATCCCTTTTTGTGTCCTCCACATCTTGCCTTTCTCCGTAGGATGTAGGATCGTTTTCCTTGTTCTGTTGGATCTTGGCATCATCCTCATTCTCAGTCCTCTGGATATCCAGCTTCTTTTCCAACTCCCTCCTCTCCCCGTCCTGAGGACCATTAACTTCCCCATCCTTGTGCTGCCCATTGTCTTGCTCATCTCCCCCCCTGCAGCTCAATTGCGATTTGCCGTCTTCCTTTGCTTCTTCTCCCTCCCTTCCTTTCCTCAGATACCTATCTTTTGTGTCCTGCATGCTGTGACTCTCTTCTTTTCTGATTCCATCAGGATCCGAACTCCTGTTCTGTTTGTTGACAGTTTCATGAGTGAACCATTCAGCCACACTCTCCTCTTCATTTTTCTCATCCTCCACTTTCTCCTTGGGTCCCTCCTCTTCATTCTCCTGACGCTGAGCCTCGCCCTTCCTGCTTCCGTGCTCATCCCATTTACCATGACCTTCAATGTCTTCTTCCAGCCTTTCGGTTTCCCTCAAAAGCATGCCCAAGTCCGCTTCCATGTAAGTCGTCGGCATTCCTTCAGCTTGTGCAGTTGAAGCACCCAGAACCTGATGCCTGGCTGGTCCGACCCCCAACTCATGCCGTGCCTGATTCCCTGTCAGTGTTCCTCTGACATCATGACCCACAGTCTGTTCCTCCGTGGGACCACGTTTCCAGTCCTGTTGTCCAAATAATTTGGACTTGGATGCACACTCACCCTGATTGCCCGGAGCTCGCTCAGCTTCATTAGCCAGAACCCTCTCAACAACTGCATGTGAAGCATGCACGTCATGACACTCAGTCACATCCTGACATGCAGCTGAACCCCCGGTTATGATGGCTTCGGTCTCATATTGCATCTCTGCCACTGTTTCCTCCGCTCTGTCCTGCCAACCATCTTCCATAGTGCAGAAGTCCTGGTGACAAGCCGAGCTGACATTGGAAGCACTTCTTGGCCGACCACCATCCGCGACTACAGTTCCTTTGGCTTTGGTCTCATAATACTGCTGCACCTGACATACTGTCACTGCTTCCTCAGCTCGGTCCTGCAGGCTGTCTTCCCCAGCTGCAGCAGCAGTGCCCAAGTTTTGCAGCCCAGTTAAGCTGACATTGGAAACGCATTTTGCCTGATTGCCCTTAGTCTGCAGCTCATACCACATCCGATCCCCTGTCACGGCTTCCTCAGCCCTGTCCTGCGGAACATCTTCCACAACTGCCGTTGAAGTGCCTATGTCCTGATTCCCAGCTACACTAACATTGGGAGCACATCCTCCCTGGGCAATGTCCCTCGTTCCCGTGCCCTTCTCTGCTCCTGTCCACGTGGACTCCCCTCCGCCATTACACTTGCCGTCCCTGCTTTCTTCGGCGATGGCTGGCTCTCCACCATCTTCTTCGTTTCCCTTCCTGTTGCTTTTGTTCTTGTCATTAACTACACAACTATGACTAACTCCTGTGGAATTCGGCGCATTGTGATCTTGCCCTGCTCTGGCCAGATCAAGGGTATTATGCTGCTCAGGGGGACTTCCGTGGCATCCATCGACAGACCCGGATTGGCATGGCTTCTTAATATCAACAGAGCCAGCCGGCAGAGGAGGAATCATTGCTTGAACCTCTGGATGTCTGCAACTTCTGGTGTGCAAGACCCTGGCGCCATTCTGTTCTTTCGCCATGTTCTGGCGATGAGCTGAGATAAGTGCCGAGAATAGATTAGGATTCTTATGTGGCCAAGTCATGTTCCCCAATCCGGCATCTAGCTTGGCGGCGGCAACTGGGATCTGTGCTGTTGTGAAAGTGGGACACATTTGTTTGGGCCCACGATCCCTGAGTGGTGATAAATATTTCCTCTGCAACAACTGGAAATGCACCGGGGCAACGACGATGAAGAGAACACAGCAAAGAGAGCAAGCCATACATACAGATTGGTTAAACCACTAGTACCTCCGAGCCTGTTTTTGCCCACCCTGGATTTCACTGCACACCGAAATCTGCCAAGCCTGGGTGCCATTGTGTTTTCTTTTCTGATACTCTTCGGGGAGAACAAAAAAAAGAACAACGAAAAAAAAAAAAGAAAACGAACAACCACGGACGTGAAAGCAGCTGCATGCAGAATCTGGGGCACATGTGAGAGTATGCCCTCCCAACGGGCCGTTACACCTCCGCTGTATTCACGGGATGAGCCAAAGAAAAAAGAAGCACGGGAAAAAAAAAAATTCATACACTCTTTGGACGTGAAAACAGCTGGATACAGAATCTGGGGCACATATGACAGTCTGCGCCCCCGACGTACATTACTTCAGGAGCTGTATTCATGGCAGCAGCAAAAATAAGAATCAGGTCATTGGACGTGAAAGCAGCTGGATTGTGACAAGGCGTAGACAGGGCAGCGAGGCTGGGAGAGGGAGGGAGAGTGAGAGCACACACACACACTGACTCAACTCGACGCAGACTCGACACGACTCGACGGACGCAGACACAAAGTGGCAAAGTCGCACAGTCGCAGTCTTGGATTCCTGAACACAATGTCGAAGCATTGTCACACTGAACACAGGCAATGAGGCTGAAAACTGGCTGCCCGTACTGGGCTTGAGTCCGGTCTTAAGTACTGGAGTCAAGTTCAGTCCCGAGGGCAGAAGTGCAAATTACCTCAGGGCTGAACTGAAAATCGAAGGCCTGAGTCTGGGCGCCAGAATGCGGGATGGCGCCAAGTATCTAAATCCGAAAGTGCCAAAAGAGGAATTTGAGAACGGGCGCCAACTGCAGAGGGCGCCAACAGTCAGTGGCCTGAGAACAGAGCCCCAAAAATGAAATAGCAGCCTGGCGGGTGGTAACCCACGGACCAGGGATCGAGCCCTGGCTGAGTCCGTAACATGGATACAGAATATAGAGTGCAAGTGAGACTGTGCCCTAAGTTGCAGAGTTGTCAGCTATCCGTGTAATGCGTCCTGCCTCGTTGGCAGGGCACGGAAAGAGGATGAAAAGAAAACGAAAAAACAAAGACAACCAATAATGAAAGTAGCTGAGTTTCTGGGTAGATGCATTCCTTATCACTGTGCCCTCCGCCATAGTGCAGTGTTGCCTGCAGGAAAGAGCGTAGGGAAGAGAGGGGGGTGGAGGAAAGGTGAGGTGAAGTGAAACCTGAGGCCGCAGAGGTCCACCAGAGTCGGTCAGGAGAGCGGCAAGAAACTTAGTAAATCATACAAGAATAGAGTGGGGAAAGAAAGCGCAAACGAGCCACATTCAAAGGAAGGGAGGACCATAACGTGAGATGTGAAAACAGCACCTGCTTCCAGACGGGCTTGCAAAAGAGAAAAAGATCTTTACTGAAAGAAAGGTAAAAAAGACAACTGAAAAAAAAAAGAACTTGTAAGGCCCGCCACTTGGCGGGTGGAAGAGCGACGTTATAAAATTGGGGGGGGGGGGGAAGAGAACACTGACATGAGTCCTCCCTCCACTACTCACCAAATGTGCAAAATGAGAATGAATCCTCCGCTAGGACACAGCTAGATACACTGACACTGTTTGTCTTGATGGAGACAAAACTTGCCCTCAGTGATTTCAGGCGCCCTTCTGCCACGAGGGGCGGGAGGAAGGGACAGTAGCTCGTCAGTTTTTTTTTCCGTTTTTCTTTCAAATAGCTGGGAAAGAAAGACAGAGCGAGGCCATGAATGTGGCCATAAACTCGAGATAAGTACACCGCGTGGCTAAGAACGACAAGGTCTTGAGATATCAGTCCATGTTTGGTGAGTGCTGCCGTGTACATATCAGTCCATGATTTTTTTCCCACCCTTTTTCAAGTTTTTCTTCAGCAGCCCCCCTTTTTCTTCGGCCTGGTGGGGCTACCGCAGGAGTGAAAACGACGTAAAAATAAAAACGAGATAAAAAACGCGAAAAGAAAAACTAAGCACGGCCTGCTTTTTGTTCCGTCTGCTGGCAGCTGGTTCAGCACTTCAGTTTTCAAAGTGGATGGTACCCGCTCACTTTCAGGCTCGGCAAAATGAATTATTTGGATTTCAAAACAGGTCTGGGTGAACTGCTGGTTTAAACAAACTTCTTCGTTCTATTCTGCATTTTCCTCTTTTCCTATCCGTCTACTCCTAATACCCCGCTCTCTCTTCTAGAATTCGTAAACCCTGAAGGGCCTAAACCCTCCTATCCTTTTATCCTTCCTACCTATTCCCATTCCTTCCTAACCCCTACTTTGTTGTTGTTACCAATAAGTCCGAGGCCAGGAATTCCTCCCCGTCTCAACCCGGTAAATACTTTCCCATTCCACTTTTTCCCTCTGATCTCCATTTGAATGACAACTTGGAACCCTGAATCATAGCCACCTTGTTCTGGCCTAAGACCTTGTGAGCGAAGCTGTCTTCAGTTCTTGTGCCTGATCTGGGTGATGTAAGCTCTGTTTGTGTGTCCTTTTCCATTGCGTTTGGAGATCCATTTTTAGCAGGTTCAGGAAAATCTCCCTTGCTTCCTGCCTGTGCATTGGTCTCTTTTCGATGGTGATCTGGCAATGCCACCTCCGAATTGTCCATAGAATGCACTGCCTTATCAACTGAAAGGTGCACTGCTCAAAGGGCTTCCATCTCTTTGGGAGGTCATAGCCTGGGAGTAGAGTGCCCCTATTCTCCGGAAATGAAGCCTCTGTGATTTGTCCCCAGAGAGTCTTAGCCTTCTCCCATAGGCTAACTGCCTCTGGACAGACGAGAAGGCAGTGTAGCATTGTTTCCGCCAAACTTTCCTGAACCTCATCTTGACATACTGTGCATAGTGCATTGGCGAGGTCCCTCTGTGGTCGCCTTCTACGGTCGTTCAGCCAGTCATTAACTGGTAGCGCCATGTGGGCTATCAGCCACAGAATGCTCCTAACCCGTCCAATGCGTATGGTGTTGATCTGGCTCCATGGTATCCTGGGAAGCTGCGCTGGTGGTACTCCCACTCTATTCTCCGAGCACTTAGACCGCGTTGCTGCCAGGGGGTAGGACCGCCTTCTCAAGCAGTAACCCATTCGAGTGGTGTAATTTCGGATATTTATTATTTATCCTTCTGGCTACCCACAATCTTCCCTGTCTGAGATTCCAGGGGCCCATTCCCCCGGGTCCACTTCTAAGTCCTCCACCTGGGTGGATGGGCAGAAGATTGTGAACTCCTCTGTTTCCACCACTCTTACTTTGCGCATCTGCCGCTGTTGAATGGTGATTGGTGTTTTGGATGTCTTATCCAGGAGGCTAGTGGTGCTTTCCGGATTCGTGATGGTATACATGTCTGCATTCAGCCACTCCGTCCTTACTGACTCCCGGTTCCAAATTCTGAATGCCTCCCATGGTCGATCCTCCTGCTGCCATGTGGCCCAGTCACCTAGCCCTCATTAAGGTCCCTTTCATAGCAGTCCTGTCCATTCTTGTGGGATGGATACCAAAAGTTCATTAAGGTTTTCTAACAGTCTATGGCTTCCTTATAGTTCCGCTCTGAGTTCCCTGGCTGTCTTCCCCCTCATCTTGTCCTCCACCTTTGATTTGCCAGACGCCATGCTTCACCCAAGTTTCCCACTTGGTATCTTTTGCTGTAAGAGTGAGCAGCTTGCCTTGTATATCCCTGATTCTAGGGTTGCAAAAAAGGGGCTGGCGGAGTATTTCCTCCCTCGTGCGCGGCTCTTTAATTCTGGCCGGGAAGATATCTTTCCACAGCTTGTGAGTTGCCCCCAGTAGGGCGCCTCCCTTAAGCCCTCTGGACTGCCTGCCTATTGACGCTCTTTCTCCTCTGCTGACCTTGGCCCAGTTACTGCACATTACCCAGAAAAGCCCTGTCACGTTGGAGGGTGTGCTATACTTAACTAGCTGTTGGATTCGCTCCAGGGCTAGTGGCACCCAGGGCAGCTTCTGATGGGTGATCAATTTGACAACCCACTTTAGTTGCTGCTCTGGGTCTATGGTACCTAAGCCCCCTTCGTACAGGTGACATGTTTCCACTCCACTTTCGAAATGAAGTGGGGCTTATTTGGGTTGGATGTCCACATCGCCAGACCATGATGCAGAATCATTTTTGGGTGCAGTTCAACAATCTGTCCGAAGGAATGCACAGTTTCGTCCAGAGAAGGTTGTCATCAGACAAGTACCCAAATAACCCCATTATCGACTGGCTCCTAGCTAATCCGGACATCCTCGCACTCGCCCACGACTCCAGGGTAGCATGTCTGGAAGTTACATCAGGCGCACCGCCAAAATTGCCGGAACAAAAAAGAACGAGCAGTGACTCAACGTTTTTGTCTCGACCAAAACCAACGCCTTCTGCTTTAAATGCAGGGGGAGGGGTCATCTGGGGTCAAACTGCCCGCAGATGGGTGTAGGCAGCAAGCAGACAACACAGTGACAGTCGATGCTCGCCGAGTGTGACAACAAACCAGGAGTATAGTACATCAACTCAGCGCAGTACCGGGGATGGGTTTTGATTCTTGAATGATAATCTCGAGAATCCAAGGTGGGTGTGGGTCCTAAAAGGAACTCTAGTCTGACACCAGACATCTACCCTCCCTACGACAGCCGGTGGAGGCCGACAGAAGCCAGGAGAATGGAAGAAAAGGATACGGGGTTCCTGACCAAGCCTATGATCAACGAATCAACCATACAGGATGACAAGCACATAATTTACACTATGGAAGAGCTGCACCAAATTGGACGGACAGCAGAGCAAGCACTCCTGTCCGGAATCCGCAGCGAAGCCAGAAGGAAAGCACAGAGGGCCTCCAACAGGAGCAGGGTGAGAATATGGAGTGTGATGGGGGGGGGAGGGCCAGAGCTCGAGCCCCTCCCTGAAAAGGAAGGCACAAACAGGACTCGGAGGGAACGACCCTACAGGG